GCCTTGAAGGCCTAACTAGCTGAGGAGTTTGAGTGTTATTCCAAGTGTGATGGAAAGATATAGGAGGGGGCTAAGACATCTCATTCCCTTAGAGCTAAGGGAGGGGACGCCTTCTGAGGAAAGCCTACCATGCCCTGGATGAGCTGTGAGACTCAACTACTGCAACCTCACCCACATATATTGACAGATATCTAATCCTGCCCTGCCTGCAATGGAAAAAGCTCTCCAGCCCCTGTAGAACTGGATCCCACCTTCTCTCTAGGTCACTGCCTCAAAGTGGAGCCCTGGACCAGCCGCTCAATCACCTTGATCTTGTTAGCAATGCAAATGAGGTGGAGCCTCCTCTCAGCCCTACTCAATTTGAAAAACTCACAGCCATCTGTTTTTAACAAGCCCTACCGGTGTGTTGAGTTATCCCCACACAGCCATTCCCACCATATCCCTTCCCAAACCTCGCTCCCTGCACACCAGGCAATCCTCCGCCAGGAACCTGCTGATGGGCTTCTATGGCTCCTGATGCCTAGAAATCTCACTGTTGCCCCAATCTATTTAACTACTTTGATTTCCTAAAAACATTTATTATTATTCAGTTGTTTAGGCCTCTTCTACCCCCAAAGTAAAAACTCTTCCTTCATAATTCTGTAGTTTCACTATGCTTTCAGCCTTGTAGCCTCCAAAGTAGATGGCAAGGAGGCTGCCTTAACCTAGACTTTCCCTAACACCCCACCCCTCAGTTACCAGATTTCTCTTCATCCATTCCCACTTCATGCCTAGTTCCTACAAGTATCAATGCCGTGGGCATCCTAGGAACTAACTGCAGGAGGGGCCGGGTACTTCCGTGATTCCTAAAAGGCTCTCCTCCCTGCCCTGGAGAAAGGGCAGGGGGCAACACGCAAATAAATACAAAATTACAAATTACATACTTAGCCCAGCAGCCTCCTCAGAGGCCTGTCTAACATGAGACCTGAATGATGAAGCAGCAGCCCGACGGGAGTTTAGAACAACGAACACTCGGGTGTGGAAACCATGCCTTACTCTGCTCTCAGTGTTTTATGTCTATTATCCATATAACCTTCCAACAGTCCTACAGAGAAGGAAGTATTCTCATTCCCAATCTGCAACAGGGGACACTGAGGCGCAGAGAGCATAAGGAAGTATATGTGAACAGCAGAGCCGGGATTCCAACCCAAGCATACTGGCTCCAAAGCTTACCCTCCTAACCACAGGCTTGGGTGAGAACAGCGAAGTGGAATGGTGCAGTGAGGGTGGAAAAGCAGACGGGACCCAGGTGGCAGGTGCCCCGGGGCAGAGAAGAGTCAGCCTGAAGCAGAAAAGAAGTCGAGCGTATTTGGTGAAACTGGAGAGAGGCGGGTGGACTGGAAACGTACTTGGGAGATGGACTGGACGAGATGGTGTGAATATCATGGGGTCTAAGAGAGGAGGGGGAGAAATCAAGAAGCCCTTGCAGTTTTCCAAGGCCCAGTTTTCAAGGCTTGAGGGCAGAGGATAAAGTATTTGTAACACAAGATACACTCAAGTCCTGTGGAGCACTGAGGCCCAGCAAGCTCTCAAATGAATAGAATCAATCGATCAAGCAAGTTAAAGCTTCCAGTTCCCACTCCAACCCTCCCCTACACGTCTCTGCAGGAGGGCTTCATGCAAGGGTCCACCCTGTCCCCTGGGAACTAGTTTCCAGAACACTATTAGCACCGGTTAACAACAATAAAAGCTGCACTTACAGTAATAAGAACAGCTTTACCAAGAGGAGGGTTCTTCCTCACAAAAAAAGTAATAGGTTTAGAACCAGAGTGCTTAAAGTTTTCTGAATAGCACAATGATACTAATTTACAAATGAGGAGTTATACAGCTTGCCCCAGGCCACACAAATGCAAAGAGGCTGAACCAGAATCCAAATCCGGGTCTGCCTACGTGGGAAGCTCACACTTCCATTAAAGTCAGCATTTCCCACAATCTGGGGCAAGTCTCTCTGAGGGGCCACACCAATGGTTTCCACCGAACTTTTTAAAGTTTTAATATTTATGGTCTTGTTTCAGGACAAATAATATGTGATATCAAATAAATAAAAATTTTAAATGGGATATAGACATGACTTCATATGAATTTTTATCTATCACATCAAATCCATGACGTCTTGTGAATTACTGCTTAGGAAACAGAAGAAGTTTCCTAAAAGGAAAAGAAAAAATTAGAAGTACAGGTGATGGAGGGAGAAGAGAGAACTCTTGAGGCAACGCATAAATAACCGAAGCTTGTGAAACACTGCTCACCACAGCCCCGCCCCAAAACAGCCAAGCACCTGTTCCATATTGTATTCAAATTTGGCTACAGCCCCACATAACTCTGACTCTGCTCCAGAGATAAAATGTTGGTTGCCTCAGGGGAAAGGGAATAACATTAGAACAACACAATTTAGCATAAATCATCCTTAACACAGTATTGGTCTTGACAGAAGACACCGTTTTGCTGGTCCAACTCCTCTGCTTAACCCTATAAACACACCTAGAGTCAGGTAAGCTCTCCTGGGCCTCACTTTCTCAGAAGGAAGTTCTAAAAAATGATCTCTCAGGTCACTTCTAGTTTTAGAGTTCCCATGAACTGTCATGAGACCCTAAAATCCAAAATTAATGTTTTCCAAAATCAGAGAGGCCCCAAACCTGAATGAGTGTTGACCTGAGGAATAAACGTAGTCCCACAAGGCATCCCAGGTCCCCATTCCTTAACAAGGAAACAAGGGGAGGAAGGATGTGTTTGTGTGCGTTCAATTGCTCAGTCATTTTCCACTCTTTGCGACCCCATGGACTGTAGCCCACCAGGCTCCTCTGTCCACGGGGGATTTTCCAGGCAAGAATACTGGAGTGGGTTGCCATTTCCTTCTCCAGGAGATCTTCCCGACCCAGGGATCGAACCTGCATCTCTCTCTCACATCTCCTACACTGGCAAGCAGGTTCTTTACCACTGCACCATCTGAGAAGCCTCTTAACTGGGCAGATGCTATCAATTATGCTGCCCTCTGGTAAGATGTGATGAGGCATTAATTACATGATAATGAAAATCAGCCAGTGTCCCTGACCCCCAGCAAAATTTTAATAATCCTCTTCCACAAATGTTTAAGTTATTAACTTCCTTTAAACCCAGTTGCTAGTGTTTGTTATTTCATCTGTAACACCGAACTTTATTCTGGGTAGGAGTAGCAGGGAGAGATGGGTGGGAAAAAAATCTACAAAATCTCATCAAACTCCTGTCCTCCAGTTAAACTTCCACCGAGAACCACCTGTCAAACCTTTCCAGCTTCTATCTGAATTACTCCACGTTTAACATGCTAAACCTCTAAAAAGAGTTGTCACTCCTTATCCTCGTGAAACATTATCAACAGAATAGTTTAACCAGAACAAGCATTCTTCCTCTATTATTGAAACAGATACATTTATCAAAAGGGAAGTCTTAAGGACCCTCCTGGCTTCTTTACAAAGCCCTTTCTGTGATACTCAGTTCAGTCACTCAGTCGTGTCCAACTCTTTGCCATCCCAGGGGCTGTAGTATGCCAGGCTTCCTTATCCATCACCAACTCCTGGAGCTTGCTCAAACTCATGTCCCTCGAGTGGGTGATGCCATCCAACCATCTCATCCTCTGTTGTCCCCTTCTCCAGAGGATAAGAGCTATTATGATACTAGTGGCCCTGTAAACTTTTAATAGAAGCTTTTTAGGTTCCCAGAAAGAGAAGTTCTGAAATGTGCTCACTTCATGTTTAGCTGAAGAAAACAGAGGATGGGTGGGCTGCAGCTGGCAAACTCAAAGCACAGCTGGGTAGCAGGTGATCTTAAAAAAGAAAAAAAAAGCCAAAACCCTGGGCAAACCGTGTAGTCAGGGGTGATCATTATAACGAGAGTTGTTACATAATTACTTGTTAACTACTGACAAACATATACATGACTACAAAATGCCATGGTTACTCTGGCCACTGAGGCTAGTTCAAGAGTGAAGGTTTCTCTAATTAATTTCACTCAAAGAAACAAACAACCCGGGGACCCATTCCCTTCCAAGGTAACCTGACAGCTTTTACATATACAAAATAGCCTCCAGCAATTAAGCCAATCGCCTCTGGGGAAGAAAATCAGTGTTTCCCTGTTAAATTGATTTTTAAAGAGAAGAGGGGAGACAAAAGTACTTTCAAACAGCTATAATATTCATCACCTGGACAAAACCGACTTCCACGCCAAAGTAGAAAATTTTAACAGAAAAGGTCTTCCCCAACCCACCCCACCCCCGTCCCTGCTCAGCTGGCGCAAAACCAAGACCTGTGTCGGAGGCACTGCATTCCAACATTTTTCAAAAAGTTTACAAGGATTTACCGAAGCGGCGGGGAGAAAAATAAGGCAGGCAGAGGCGGGGGAGAGGGAGCAAGAGGGTTTCCGCAAGGAAGAACCGGGTGAAGCGCCCGGCTGCGCCGCGCAAGGCCCGGTAACCGGGAAGCGACCCGCACCGGGAGAGCGAGCGCCCCAGGGGAGCGCGGGGCCTGCCAGCTGCTCGGCCTCCGCCCCCAGGGGTCCCCCCAGCGCCTCCCCCCGGGCCGGCCTCCGCCGGCAGCCCCTCTCTGCCGACCCTGCCCCCGCAGCGGCGGCGATGCCCACGGGGCCAACTTGGCCCTGGGTCAGCGCTGCGGAGCGCAGCCCCGGGTGCTGGGGAGGCCGCCGGCGCCCTTACCTCCTTCTGCTTGGGGTCCTGCGGGTAGACATCTGGCGGCCCGAGTCGGGGGCGTTTCAGCGGTCTCTGCTCATAGCTGAGAAGCCCGAAGGCGGCCATGATCTCTCATGTTAACCGGCGAAATGAATGAGAGTTGGAGCTGGAGCAGCCGCCTCTGAGCACCAGGGAGCAGCACTTTGCAGACAGACTCCCTCTCCCCCCTCCTTGCTCGCTCACTCGCTGTGGCGCTGCAGACAGGAATAAAGCAGGTTGGATGCTGCCGCTGCCCGGCACGCAGATGCGACTGATGGGGGCAGCCTTCGGCGGGCACCCTGCTGCGCTGGAGCCCCCCCCACCCAACCCCCCGCGGGACGCACCGCCGCCGGAGAGCCCGGAGGTCCGCCCGGGGCCTCCGCGGCGCCGGCCTCCCTTCCCACCCCCACCCCCCCCCGCACCCCGCCACCCTGTCCCTGGGGGGGAGGAGCAGCTGATGGGAACGTGTGACTTTTTTCACCAAGGGACCCAAACCCACCCCAGCCGGGCGCAGGGTGGAGTGGGGGAGGGGCACAGGGGAGGGGGGGGATTAAAAAAAACTTTTCTTGGCGCCCCAGGCGGGTGGCTCAAGTGCTCGCCCTCGGCGAGGGTGGCCCGCCTAAGCCGAGAGGAGACTCAGGAGCAGCCCGCCCCCGCCCCCCCTTCCTAAGACAGGGACCCTTCCCCCGCTCGCCGCGCGCCCCGCAGACCCCGCCACCTGGGCGCGGACCCGGCTGGGAAGGAGGGAGACTGGCCTGGAGGGGGGTTGGGGACGGACAGGGATGCGGACGGTGGGGAAGCAGCCAGTGCCTCCTAGACGCCGGCCGGGCTCCGGTGGCGCATCCGCGGCTCCGGTGCCCTCGGCGGCTCCGGGCAGGCGCCGAGCAGCGCGGCCAGCGGTCGCGGCGGCTGGAGGGGGCCGCGCTCACGGTGGCTCGGGGCCGACTTAACCCTTTGCTGCCCCTCCAGGGGCTGGGGAAGGAAGGGGGCGCGAAGAGGGTCGGCAGCGAGCGCCGACGGGAGCAGCGAGCCCGCGGGCGTCTCGGGCTCCTCCAGCCCGCCGCCCCCCACCCTCACCCCGACCGCAGCTCCTCCCCCCACCCCCGCCACCGACAGTTTACCTGTTGGTCCCCCGCTAGTGGGCAGGGGCTGCCGGCAGCGGCAGCACTTCGGCGGCCGCAGCCTCCATGATTCGGGTTGGGATGGGGGACGGCGGGGGGGACTAGATTTGATCCGGTTTGTAAGGTATCAGTCTCGCCCGGGCGAGCTCCGGGGACGCCGCGAAGTTTGCCACTGTCTGGGGGCGGCGGACGACGCCGGCTCGCCGCCGCCGGCGTTCTCGCCCCCACGGCCGAGGAGCGCGAGCTTCCGAGTTGGCGGACGGCGGCGCGGCGGCCACACTGAGCATGCCCAGCTCGGCTGCCGGACCGCGGAGGAGTTGGCTGCGAGCGCGCTCCGATCCGCCTCTCCGGGTTTTCGCAGCCGCAGAGCGCGCAGCCCGCGGGCCCGGGCGCCGGGGCTGGCCCTGGGGTGAATCTGGGCGAGGGAGGGGCGCCCCCAGGACCCCTCTCCCGGCCGCGAGCTGGGCAGTCCGCCTCGACCTCTGTTAAGGTCGCTGTCCCCGTGGCCTGGGCCGGAAACCTCACCTGCGCCGCGCGTGTGGAGTGAGGCGGGGGTATCCTCCCGGGGAGACCTTGGTCATCCAATCCGCCCGCGCTCCCCGCTAGCTCTGGGGCGTGGGCACCCAGATGCAGGGCCACCTGCCGCGAGCCCTGCGAAACTACAGCTGCGGAGGCGGGCCCGGTCTGTCCCGAGGGGCCCAGCGGGAGGCGCGCCCGGGAGGATGCGCCCGCGCTTGGCCAAGAATGATGGCTGCCATTTATGGAGCCCTCGCTTCGTGCCAGGATCTTGACAGTAAAGGTCTCTGGTCCTTTAAAAAAAAGGGGGGGGGGGAGAAACTTACAAGGTTTTACTGTGCCCCTTTTATAGATAGAGAAATCGAGTCACATTAGGAAGGCCCGGTGACTTGCTCAAAGCCGCGAAGCAAACCGATCACAAGTTTCTGATCTATTGCCCACAGCTTGGAATTGGGAGGAATGGGTTCCTGACCTGATCTTGCCTGATAGGGTCAAGTTCCTCCCACCCTGAGGAATTCGCAAGACTCCTATTTCATTCTCTAAAAGATGGTGCGAGTCAAATCTAACCCCAAAGCCTTTGCACAGTGCCAGGCACAGCGTATGTGCTCAGGAAATGTTGGTTAAACCTGATTATCTACTCAAATCTGATGACTTGAAGCAAAGGCGCGGGGGGGGGGGGGGGGGGGCGGGGTGGATATAAGCCACTGGGGATAGGAGACTAGTTCTTAACTCTTGACTCTGACCTATTAGCACTTCCCAAGGCAGCTGAGACCAATTCAGGCCGGTAGTTTCCGGATTCTTGACTCAGTCTGAGCAAATACTTTTAGCGAACAGTTCCACCAAGAAGCGTTTCCCCTGCACCCTCCCCAAAGGACTCCTTTTCCACTAACACCTTGGCTGTAACTTCAAAGCTGAACTTGCCCTTGGGATGTAGGTATCTGTCAAATCTAGCTTCCTTGCTTGAGAAACAGTTATCTAAATTTGTTATGAAAATTGTCAAGCCAAAATGCAGAAAAAATAGCTTAATGAACCCCCAGTACTCATCTCCCGTCTGTGACAATTAGAAAAGTTTCACTGTTGGTGTCTAATCTCTCCTGCCGCCAACACAGCTACATACACTGGAAAAGACAGTGTTGTTCACTGTGGTGACTTGGGTGCACAGCATGGAAACTGGCATGTAGTGGGCACTCAAAAAGGTGTTTGTTCGCTGGTGGGATGGATGAGTGGGTGTGGGTGTGGGTGAATAGGTGTGTGGATAGATGGATCTCCAGTGGTATTTTGGTGATAGCTGGTTGGGAAATGTAACCTCAATTCTTCCCTTGAAATACCTAGGCAACAGTCTCCAGCTGGCCTCCACAAAGGAAAAACTTTTGAAGCACTCAAAATCATATCTGACCATAAAGATTTTAAAGTCAAAGTGAGTTAATAATGTGTCCTTAGTGTTTGGGGAAAAGGGAAAAGGAGAGTTCTGTTGATCTCCCTTCTTTTTCCCTCCCTTGTTTTGAGACAGTCTGGCATGGATTCTTTGACCCTTTGAACATTTAAAGAAAAAGTAAAATTTTTTTAAAAAACTAGCTTCTGTAAGCTGTGATACTTCCTCAAAAATCATCATTTCACTACATGAACTTCTCATGGATATTTGGTTCCTTCACCCTGACATTTGCACCTGTCACAATCTGCCACCACCTACCAATCCAATTTTTTCTCCTTAACCCCTCACCCCAGTTAGCTCTCACTCATATTTCCAAATATGAAATTCCTGGGCCCTTCACTTTCCGATAGCCACCTAAGGACAGTCCTTAGAGTCGACTCCAGTGTGAAGCCCATCTCGAACCTCTTTTTTTTTTTTTAATTTTTCCGTATGTATTTTTGGCTGCCCCGGGTCTTCCTGCTGCGTGCGGACTTTTCACTAGTTGCAGCGAGGAGGGACTGCTCCTGGTTGCAGCGAGTGGACGTCTCACTGCAGTGGCTTCCCCTGTTGCAGAGCGCAGGCTCTACACAGGCGCAGTAGCTGCAGCTGTTGAGCTCTTCAGCTCGGGCTCAGTAGCCTGTGTTTAGTTGCTCCGTGGGATGTGGAATCCTCCCAGACCAGGGATCAAACCTGTGTCCCCTACACTGTGGCAGGTGGACCCCTATCTACCACCACCAGGGAAGCCTCCACCTCAGACTCTAGAAGCACAAAATCATCTTTTGATTCTTTCAGTACCCTTAACATAATTTTCATTCTCTTATATTTTTCACCAGTTCTATTGAAAAAATGACTGACATCCATCACTGTACAAGTTTAAGGCATACAGCATGATGGTTCAATTTACATATATTGTGAAATCATTACTGCAATAGGTTCAGCTAACACCCATCCTTTCATACAGATACAATAAAAAAGGAAAGAAAAAAGGGGGAAATTTTTCTTTTTGTAATGAAAACTCAGGATATACTTTCTTAACAACTTTCCTATACACCATATGGCAGTGCTAACCGTAGTCATCATGCTGTACATTACACCCCTAGCTCTTATTTATCTTATAACTGAAAGTTTGTATCTTTCAGCCACCTTCCTCGGTTTCCCCATCCCCCAATCCTCTGCCTCTGGTAACCACAAGTCTGATTTCTTTTTCTGTGAGTTTGGTTTTGTTTTGGTTTTGTTTTTAGACTCCACATATAAGTGAGATCACACAGCCTTTGTCTTCTGATTTATCAAACCGGGCTTCCCAGGTGGCTCAGTGGTAAAGAATCCGCCTGCCACTGCAGGAGATGCAACAGACTCGGGTTCAATCCCTGGGTTGGGAAGATCCCCTGGAGGAGGAAATGGCAACCCACTCCAGTATTCTTGCCTGGAGAATCCCATGGACAGAGGAGCCCAGCGGGCTACAATCCATGGGGTCGCAGAGTCGGACATGACTGAGCATGCACACACGTCTGATTTATATCACTTAGCATAATGCCTTGGAGATCCATCCAGATTGTCACAAATGATAGGATTTCCTTGTTTATTTAATGGCTGAATAATATTCCACAACATCTTTATCCACATGTCCATTAATGAACACTTAGGTCATTTCCATGCCTTAACTACTGTAAGTATAGCTGCTATGAACTAGGGATATAACGCTATGAACTGGGGTTACAGGTATCTTTCCAAGTTAGTGTTTTCATTTCCTTCAGATATATTCCCAGAAGTGGTCATTCTCTTTTAATATCTCATCATTTATTGGCATACTTTCAGACTTGCCGCACAGAACAGTCTCGTTCACCATCCCTACCTCACCCTCTCACTCTCCTTCCGTTCCAGAGCTGATCTTTAGGCTCACTCAGGCCAGTTAGCGACAGGGTCTCCTGCGCCTGAACTTCCATCACAGTGCTGGTTAGTACAGCTGAGAGGCACAGATTCTTTTATCAAATACCGTGGGTCTCGTTTGCTACTGTTCCTGTGGGAGTGAAAGCTTTAGTCACCCAGTGCAACCCCATGGACTGTAGCCCACCAGGCTCCTCTGTCCATGGGATTCTCCAGGCAAGAATACTGGAGTGGGTAGCCATTCCCTTCTCCAGGGGATCTTCCCAACCCAGGGATCAAACCCAGGTCTCCTGCATCGCAGGTGGATTCTCTACTATCTGAGCTACAGGGAAGCCCACTGTTCCTATAAGGGGCATCTTATCTGTTTGGTTAATGACCCTCCCTTCCCTCGGCCTGGGAACAGTTTGTACAGAATATGAATTACTCGGAGAACACCAGAGGCTCCCCAGAGAGGCCCCAGTTTAGGCCTCAGCCTAGCAAGAAGAGATGAGTTCAGGTGTCTGAGGAAGTTTAACACAGCTGGCGAGGGAAAGGGATTGAAATGCAGGCAGAGAAGGAGGAATTATAAGCCATTCAAAGCATATGGGACTTTATGCTCGAAGAATGAAGTTAAATCTCTAGGGCTGCTTTTGTGGGTTGAGGCATGTTTACAAGTTTTCTTCCTAGCTGCTTCTGTCCTTTCTGCTAGTCTTGGTTTTTCAAAATTCTACAAGGAGTCCCTCATAGTTGAGTCCTCTCTTGTGTTCTTGGATGAGGTCCCTTTAAGACAGCTCACGGGCTGGCTTTTTCTCCCTGCATTTAGTCTGTAGGAAATGCACAGATGCCTTTGCTTGTGCACACTCTGGGGCAGGCATTTTCTCTCCAGCCTTATCTCCTTGCCCACATGGACACGTTCTGCAACACAGTTCTTCACCTTGAAAGATCTCAACTCTAGGTCAGAGACTACTTCTTTGGGTTCTTGCAAACTGCAGCAGACAGAGATTAAATGCCCAGACCAGTGATCGCCTCAAAACTCTTTTCATGAGGCTTGAGGGGAGGAATAACACTTCTTGGGAGAGAGAGACATAATCATATTCGCCAAGCAGATTTCAGAAAATGAGAGTAGAGAATGGCTAGGAGCAGAAGCAAGGTGCTGGCCCTCCAGAAGCAATGGTCCCCTTATCCTTATTTTACAAATGAGCACTGGAAGCCCCGGAGGTGAAGTTAGCTGGCGCGAGGCCGTTGAGTCAGCAAGTGGCAGCCGGGGTCAAACCTGGACGCCTGTGATTCTCCTTTTATTGTCAGCATGCTACCTGTATTAATTACCGTTTACGTAACACTTATAGAAGGCAACCTCGGAAGACACATCTTATAGAAGAGAAGTAAAACTCCCGACAGCTCACTCTGGCATAGTGCATGCTTCCACTCAAGTGGAAAGGAACAATTCTCCGTGTAGCGCCTGTAGGTGAAGTAATTAAAGGTGCTGGTTTTCCCCATGGGACTGAGGCTTGCCCAGGTGTATGTATTACTGTGTTTTGTTAACAGATTGTCTAGAGGCAGTCTTGCTTATTTTCAGTTTTTCTTACATCCCCATTACATTTAAATGTATTTATCCCATGCCTGGTTCTGAATCAAAAAAATAAAAATTCCCCCTTTCTTTTAGGCTCTTAAAAATAAGAAAAAGGAGAATAAGAATGATTTGAGAAGGAATCAAAATAGAGGAAAAGACAAATGCAGGATTCATCTGGGGACATTCCAACCAAATGAAATTTTTAATATGGTCTTTAGGCTGTTTATAGAAATGTAAAGAATACAGACATAAAGACTTCCTAAAGCAGTATTGACAATAGAATTATATTGCTATTCTAAATATGTACTTTTACATTTTCTGGTAGTCACATTAAAAATGTAAAAATTGATAAATTAATTTTAGTAATACTTTTGTTTAACCCAATATAAGCAAAATATTGCGTTTCAACATGTGGCCAGTCTTTGAACTGTGGTGCCGGAGAAGACTCT